ACACGCACAGGGGAGGCGCCCCACGAGGCGTGCGGGGCTGGCGCGCCGGCGGGGCGGGGGGGGTCCGGCCGGGGCGACGGCCCGCGTCACGCCGCCCCGCTGCCGCCGCCCTTCCCCGCCCGCAGGACCGAGCCGAAGCGCGTGCTCGAGAGCAGGTTCCCCCGCCGGGTGCGCGCGGCGGGCATCATCGCGGAGTCGCAGGACGAGGCGGTGTACGCGCTGACCGAGGGCGCCGAGCGGCTGCTGTCCCGCGTGGAGAACCAGCTGACGGCCAACCTGTTCCTCATGTCCGAGTGTCCGCGGGCGGGGGCGCAGCCCGCCGTGCGCCCGCCGCTTTCCCGGCGCAAGGGCATCGCCGAGGGCACGCCCGACGAGTTCGCCAAGCCCGACGACCACCTGGCGGCGCAGGCCCGCTGGCTGGGGCTCTTCGCCCACGCCGACAGGGCGCCCCCGCAGGCCTCCAGTAAGTCGGCCCCCCGGCCGGCCGGCCGGCCGGCCGCCCCTCCCCGCCCCTCCGCGGCGCCGGCCCGGAGCCTTCCCTGCGCCCCCGCCGCGCGCGCGCGCACTCCGGGAGGGGAGCCCCGGGGCTCCTCCAGAGCAGGGGTCTCTGCCGAGCTCCCCCGCGGCGCTCAGACGGTGCTGAGGCGGCTGGCTTTTCCTGGGTGCGCTTTGCAGACTGGGCCAAGTCTTCCTCCACGGGTTTTGTCTTTTTGTTTGGCCACTGTGGCATTTTTAAATCCTGTGGTTTGGGGAGGGCAGAGGCTGGCAAGATTCCCTAGACAATTTTGTTGGGGGGGCGGGCTTTCTGAGTTTCTTTGTGTCCATTTCGCCTCACATTTTATTTGGTTTATTCAAAATATTTCTATCCTATCTTTCTGTTAATCGCACACAAGGTGGGCGGCTAGAGCTGCATGTTGTTCAGTTACAGTGAATTGTTTTTAATGGAATCAGTCCCTCATGAGAAAGTGGGGAGATGAGCAGCATGGGCTGCCTGTGCGGACGGTGGCTTGGCCTTCGCTGGGGCCCGTCCACCAAGCTCGCCTCCCTCTCCTCTCCTCTCCTCTCCTCTCCTCTCCTCTCCTCTCCTCTCCTCTCGCTAACAGCCACTTCCTTGGAAGCCATTGGGCCACAGGCAGAGGAGAAGCTCCCTCGGATCCAGAAGGCACGAGGTACGACGACAGAGCGGGGGGTGGCTTGCATGTCTGGGGGGCCCAAACCTTGTGTGCCATGTGCAGCCGTGTAAAATGATGCCTGTGGAACAAATCCTAAAGCCTCGCACCTGTTCCCAAAGGCAAGGCCATCGTCATGGCGGCGCCGGGCGGCGTGGCCTCGCCGGAGAGCGCCTCCGGCAGCAGCAGCGGCAGTGGCAGCAGCGGCAGTGGCAGCACCAGCGGCAGCACCAGCGGCAGCACCAGCGGCAGCAGCGTCTCCTTGTGGCGGGAAGTGCGGCGGGCCAGGAGGGAGCACAAGGCCCGGGAGAAGCGGCCGGGCCCCAAGCTGCTGCCCGTCGTTTCCCAGGAGGCGCCAAAGCCAGTCCGGCCGCGCAAGCAGGCCCAGCCTGTCCTCCTGCAGCGGCGCGACACCCGCACGCAGCTCTACGTGGAGGTGCTGAAGCGGCAGAAGGTCAAGAAGGAGGAGCAGGTGGCTGCGCTCCCGGTGGAAGCCAAGCGGGAAAGCGGCGTCCTGCAGGCCAGGCCCAGTCAGCCGTCGCCCGCCAAGCTGCCCTCCGTGGCCACCAAGGGCAGCATCATCGACCCCGACCAGCAGTACAGCGCCGACAAGTCCAAGTGGCGCAGCGACCTCTACCAGCTGCTGATGCTGCGCATCGCCCCCCCCGCCGAGGGCCGCACCGCAGCCGAGGACTTGCTGGCCTCGGCCCGCGTTGCCCTGGCCAGACGGGCCGTGTCCTGGGAGGCCCTCCTGGCCCTCGGCCAGGCCCTCCCCACCCTCCAGGAGGAAGTCACCCTGGAGGAGGCAGGGCGGGCGAGGCACGTGGAGGACTGGCTGAAGGCCTCCTCCCAGGAGCCGCAGCCGCCGCCGTTGGAGGAAAGCGTGGAGGCGGTGCTCGCCGTGAGGACGGAGGAGGACGTGCCGGGCCGCTCGGGGAGCGAGGCCGAGCGCAGCGACCTGAGTCGGGAGGGCTCTTCCGAGGTGGAAAGCGCGGCTTCTGGAAAGCGGGTCCCTGGGGAGAAAAGGGGGCCCAAGGAGAGGGAAAGGGCAGGCAAGCGGAGGCACCTGCTCTCCAAGAGAGAGAAGGTGGGGCGGGTGGGCGTGAGGGCAGAGGCGGCGGCGGGGAGGGGAGGGGCCAAGCACGAGCCGGAGGCACCGGAAGGCTGGGAGCAAGCACCCTCGGCTCTGGGGCAGGACCAGCAGGCAGCCGGCCAGAAGGACAGGGAGGCAGCCGGGGGCAGCGACAGGGAGGGGGCCCGGGGAAAGGGGCGCCTGGGGTCCTGGGGGAGAGAGCGCCGGGAGGCCAAGCCACTTGCGTGGGAAAGGGCCAGCAAGAAATTGAGAGTGGCCCAGAGGAAAGTGGCCCAGCCAGCTGCCCAGGCCAGGGAGGTGGCCGAGGGCATGGAGGAGCGGCGGGCCCCGGTGCGACGGCTGCAGCAGGAGGTCCTGATCACTGGGCCGGAGGGGGTGCTGGCCCGTGTGTCGGAGCACTCCCTGGCTGAGCTGCGGGCCGAGGCCAAGGAGCTCTTGCTGGCCGAGCTGAAGGAGAGGGCCCTGGTGGAGGTCCAAGAGGCGACCCTGAAGGAGGCCATGGCCGTGGCCATGGCCGAGGCCAGGGAGACAGTGGTGGCAGAGGCGCGGGAGAAGGCGCTGCTCACCGCACGGGAGAAGGCGCTGACCGAGGCGTGGGAGAAGGCGCTGGCCAAGGCGCGGAAGATGGTCCATGCGGAGGTGATGCAGGGGGCTCTGGCCGAGGCCCGGGAGGTGCTCCTAGCCGAGGGGAAGGAAGGGGATGCCAGCGAGGAAAGAATCCAGGCCCTGGCGGAGGCCAGGGCCGTCGAGCTGGTGGAGGCGAGGGCGATGGAGCTGGCCATGGCCATGTCCCTGCACATAGATGAGGACAGAGTGTTGCAGCTGGCCGAGGCAGAAGCCGTGGAGGTGGATGAGGCAAAAGTCCTCGAGCTGTCCCAGGCAAGGGCCATGGAGCTGGTCCAGGCATACGCCGCAGAACTGGCTCAGGAAAGACTGAAGGAGATGTCTGAGGAAGATATGAGCGAGCGGGTTGAGGCCAAACTGAAAGATCTGCTCCTGGAGCATGGGAGAAAGGCTCGCAGGAGAAGGAGACTCATCGCGGAGGGAGAGTTGGAGGCTGAGCTGGAGGCTGAGCTGCAGGCTGAGCTGCAGGCAGAGCTGCAGGCTGAGCTGGAGGCAGAGCTGGAGGCAGGCCTGTGGGAAGACCTGTGGGAGGAGAGCCCTTGGTTCCCCACCGGGGAAGAAAGCGAGGCATTGATCGCCCTGTGGGAGAATGAACCTACCCCTGGGCCAGAGCTTGAGCTTCCGGAACGCGCTCAGTTGCTCCTGGAAATCCTGACCGAGCCGGAGAAGCTGGAGAGCAGCGATTCCAAGACATTTCAGCGCCTCTCCCAAGTGGTGTCCTTGCTTCAGGTCACCTCCGCGACGGATGCCAAGGCCCTGGCCAAGGCCCTGGTGGAGCAGGCGGAGCTGGTCGTGGCAGAAGGGGAGCTGCAGGAGCTCTTGCCGGAAGCCTGTGTCACCATCTTGGCAGAGCTCAAGGAGATGCTGCAGCGCCAGCGATCTGGGGCGGCCGGCTCCCCGCCGCTCGCAGCCAGGGTCAGGAGCCTGCTGGAAAACGCCCAGACCATGCTGCGGGCCAAGGCCCTGAAGCAGAAACTGGAGAGAGAGGCCTCGAAGCAAAGCTGGGAGGAAGAGGCCAAGGCGGAGTGGGTGGAGGAGGGGGGGGAAAGGGCGGACAAGAGGCTCTGGCTGAACACGAAGATCATGGAGACCCTCAGGAGGTGGCAGACCGACGTCGAGAAGGCCCAGGAGCAGAAGCTGCTGCTGCAGCAGAAGCGGCTCCAGTACAAGTCACGGATCATCCCGCTGGACGAGGCTGAGAAAAGGATGCAAAGAGGGAGGGAGAAGGTGGGCAGGGAGGAGCAGCGGCAGAAGCAGAAGTGGGCGAAACTGCCGGCTGCGCGCGAGTCAGGCAGGCTGATGTGGTTCATGGGCCAGCCGCGCGCGAGGGCCTGGAAGGCCATCATACAGATGGACCAGGACCTGCCTCCGGCCCTGGAGGACCAGTTCCAGAGGCCCCGGCTGAGGGGCTACCGGCTGGCAAAGGACTTCCTGTACAAGACCACCAAGCCAGCGGGGCTCCTGCATCGCAACAGGTTCCGGCGGGGCGGCCGGCAGCACGTCTTCCGCCTGGAGGACGACAAAGGGATCGACTGGGAGAGGTTCATAAAGCTCTTCCAGACGCTCATGCAGCTGAAGGAGGTGGAGGGGGGCATGGATTCGGCCGCGTGGCACGAGCGCTCCTCCCGGCTGCTGGACCTCTACGGCGTGAGCAACCCCCTGATCCGGGCCATGGTGCAGCAGCTGCTGATGGGCGGCCGCCACCAGCACAAGTACGTCGCGGGCAACACCCTGCAGCTGCGGCAGGCGCCCGTGGACCTGGGCCAGCGGATCCTCTACGAGCTGATCCACCACTCCGTCCGCATCCACCCCAAGCCGCCCGCCCTGCACAGCGTCGTCCCGCTCAGCTACCAGAACAACGTGCACCCCTTCAGGATGCGGGGCGTGACCCACTTTGGCACCACGACCCTCAAGTGGAAGACCTTCTTCTCCAAGGGGAGGCTGCCCAGGCTGCGCCTGTTCGTGCACTCGAAGCGCATGTGAAGCAGTGGCACTTCTGCCAGCGCAGGCAGAGGGTGCGCGCAGCTGCAGCGGGCATGCCCATGCGTCGGCCCATGCCTGCACGCGCACCGGTGCCAGCTGCAGCCGTGCATGCGGAGTGCTCCTGTGCGGCGCTGTCCCTCCTCCTGTGAGCCACGGAGGCAGAGAGCTGGGAGCTCTCGCAGGGCGAGGGATGCTCGTGGCAAGCCCCGCGGGAGGAATACGGGGGGGGGGCACCACTGCAGCTGCCGTGCCGCTTGGGCCCCCTTCGGGCAGCTCCGTTTGCTGGTAGCTATGGATTACCCTCCACTCTGAGCCAAGGCAGTGAACAAAATGCCAGCATACTAATAAAAACAGAGTAAGTTAATGTCATAAGAGGATAATAAAACGTTGACAGTCAATCGAAGCATGACTGAGCTGTGATTACAGCTGTGGAAAGGGGGCAGGGCTCCAGCCCCTCCGTTCTGAGCCCTGTGGGCCCGGACCCTCCAAGCCTTCCAGGGCCCTGCGGCCGAGGGGCCACTGCATGTCAGGGGAGGAAGCCTCGGAAGGCCTCAGCCTGCAGAGTGCCGGGCCCCAAATTCTCTTGGGGGCAGGACAGCGAGTTGGGCTGTTGTGCTGGCCTCATCAAGTCTGTCTGAGTGCAGGGGTGGGCCGGGGGAGCCACAGCCTGCTGGCCCACCGGGCCCTCCGGAGCCCCGCAGCCCACCAGCCCTGCCCCTTCAGCCCCGCGGGCAGCAGGTCCCTCGCGGAGGCCAGGTATGTTCGGGGCTCTGGACAAAGGGCCCCTGAAGGCCCAGCTGTGGGCTGGCAGGAGGCTTGGCCCCCAGCTTCCAGAAGACTGCACAAGACACGCCCAGCAGTGACGGCACCCCGCCTGTTGCTGGGACAGCGCCACCGGCTGGGCGAGACTGGGCTCCCCCCCGGCGCCCCCAGTGGCCTCAGGCAGCAGTGTCCCGGCCAGAGCAGCCCATGCCATCCCCACCCAGCCTCAGGCCTGCCCCCTCAGAAGGAAGCGGGCTGTCCCCCGGGCCTGGCCAGGCTGGGGGTGGGGGTGGCTCCCCAGGCCGCTGGCAACTGTGGCCGCCCCTCCCAGAGCAGCTGCTTGGGGTGGTCTGGTGCTCTCCTATGAAGGAGATGACGGTTGGTAATATAAAAATGACCTCCCCATGCATACCTTAATATGATGAGGGGACCTGAGACTCCACTGGGGGGTCTCCTAGCAGGGTCACATGACGCCGTGCTGCCAGAAGAGAAGCGAGGGCGGCTGGACCCAATCTGCAACCCCGCGAGAAGGCAGTGCTCGCTGGAGAGAACCAGGGGAGGTGTGGTGCTGGAAAAGGGGGCAGCTGGAGGTGGGTGGTCCCGTTCCTGGGAGCTGGGGGTGGGGGGGCGTCTGGACAGTGCGGATGGGCAGGGCCGTCCCCGGGCGGCCGACTCAGCCACAGAGAACAGCAGCAACACAGACACTTACTTCGCGCTGCCCGTTCGGCTTTGCGCTCTCGGGTCATGTCCACCTGCGCTGGAAACGATTCCTTGCCGATCCGGGATGATCATTCCCACCATCCCGGCGGAGCCGCCCCTGGAAAATCCGACATCCGGGTGCTTGGAAGCAGACTGGCCGCCCTGCGAAAGGACAGCGCACAGTGGCCGCCGGGTGGGGGCCGCGCGGAAAACTTTCCGGGGGCGCAGCCGCCCAGCTCCAGTGCCCCGCGCGCAGGCAGAGCCCGAAAGCCCAACGGCGAGGCGGGGGCGGCTCCGCTTTGGGGACCCCTCCGGGGGCCGCGCGGGCTTCCGAGGGTCGAGCGCCCTGGGGCGGGAGCACGCCAGCCTGCAGCCGCCTTCTGCAGGAACCGGCGCCGGGCCCCCGAAGCACGCGCCCCGGCAGGAGGGCAGGCGCGCCGAGCGGGAGCCGCGGCGGCGGAGCACGCAGGCCGGGGGAGCCGGCGCGGGGCTGAGACCGCGACTGAGCCGCTTTCCGGGAGCGAGCGGGCTCGCCGGGGGCTCCCCGGAGGCCCCCGAGCGCCGCCAGCAGGCGGGGCTGCCGGCGGTTCCGGCTACCGGGGTCCCACCCGGCCGCGTCCCCGCGCGCCTGGCGAGGGCGAGCGGCCAGGCAGGTGCGGGGCGAGGGCTGCCCCTCCCGGGACTACGAGTCCCGGCATGCACAGGGCGCCGGCGTGCGGCTCCCCGGCCGGCCGCTCCCCAGCTGACAGCCGTGCCGCGGCTGCCGGGCGAGCGCTGGACGCGCCAGCCCGCAGCAGCCGCCGAGCCCCGCGCGGGGAGCGGGCCCGATCGGAGCGTGCGGGCGGCAGCGGGAGGCGCGGGGCTCGCCAGGTGGGCCGGCGGGGCAGCCGGGCGAGGGGCCGCTGCCAGCCCGGGCAAAGCGGCGCAGGGCCAGGCCACGGCCAGGGCGGGCCGGAGAGGGGGGCGCTGCACGGGCAGGCGCAGGAGCGGGCAGGTGGATGGGCGCGGGCGGGCAGGTGCGGCCGTAGGAGCCCGGGAATCGACCGCACGGGCGGCGCCCGCAGGAGCCGGCAGGGCTGGCACAGGACGGGCGCCCGCGCCCACGGCGGCTCGGAGAAGGGCGAGCGAAGCGGAGGGGGCGGGTGCCGGGATGGCCGCGCTGCGGCGCCGCCAGAGGGCTCGCCCTTCTTCCCTCCCGCGGGGGACCCGCCACGGGACCCGTGCCTCGCCGCCACGGAGCGCGCTCGGCTGCCCCGGCAGGGCGAGCGGGGATGCCTCCGCCGCCGCCGGCTCCTGGCGCGTCCTCCGCGGCCGAGCATAATGGCCTCTTTCTTCCGCGCCGGAGCGCGCTCCCTGCGGCCGGGCGGGGCGGGGGAGGCCGGATTGCTTGTCGTTTAAGTCGCGGATTATCAGGCGAGGTCGTGACCGCCCCGTCCCGCCTTTGCAGGGCTCGCCGCTGCTCTCCTCCCGGCGCCGTACCGACCAGCATCCCCGGAGGCCTGCGGGAGCAGCCCTTTGGCGAGGAGGGGGCGCCAGCCGGCAGGATGGGCGCCCATGAAGCAGGAGGGGTGGGCGGCGCAGGATCGGGCCCCCAGCACTCCGCTGGGGCCAGCGCCGGCCCACTGGCCCACGTGGGGCTGTGAAGCATGCAAGGCCACGACCCTCCGAGGCGCGGGCCGCCGGTGGGAGCTGACCCCATGGAGCAGGCGTGCGAGGGGGTGGGGGACTGCGGGGGGCTGTGGGCCGCCTGCCCGCCAGCCCCTCGCCCCTTCTGGACGGCGGTCTTTGACTACGAGGCGGCAGCAGAGGAGGAGCTCACCCTGCGGCGGGGCGACCTGGTGGAGGTGCTCTCCCAGGACGCCTCCGTCTCCGGGGACGAGGGCTGGTGGACCGGGAAGCTGCAGGACAAGGTGGGCGTCTTCCCGAGCAACTACGTGGCCAGCAAGCCCACCTATGCCCAGGTGCAGGGCTCCCTGGAGGGCGCGCTCCCCCCGGAGGTCTCCTTCCAGGAGCTGGAGCTGGAAGAGATCATCGGCGTGGGCGGGTTTGGGAAGGTGTACAAGGGCCTGTGGCGAGGGGAGGAGGTGGCGGTGAAGGCCACCCGCCAGGACCCCGAGGAGGACGTCGCGGTGACTGCAGCGAACGTGCGGCAGGAGGCCCGGCTCTTCGCCATGCTGCGCCACCCCAACATCATCGCGCTGCGGGCCGTCTGCCTCGTGCCCCCCAATCTGTGCCTGGTGATGGAGTACGCCCGGGGTGGGGCGCTCAGCCGGGTGCTGGCGGGCAAGAAGGTGCCCCCGCACGTGCTGGTCAACTGGGCCGTGCAGGTCGCGCGGGGCATGAACTACCTGCACAATGAGGCCGTGGTCTCCATCATCCACCGGGACCTCAAGTCCATCAACAGTAAGTGCCCTGCAGGGGGGAGGCAGGGGGCGCCGGGGGGTCCCAGCCCTTCCCATGCAGCCACGCGTGCCGGCCGGCGTCCTGGGGCAGGTCCCCGGCCACGGAGCCAGAAGTGCCAAGCAGCGCAGGCCACACTTCTGACGGCACAGAACCGCTCCCGCTCCCACTCCGAGCAAACAAACTCGTCCTTGAACGAGCAAGAACCCCGGGCGATCCCCCGTCTCTCAGCCCCTGTGGCCCCTGCCGCCCCGGGAGCTGTTGCTGCGTGAGCGCAGCATTGCCTTGGCTGCTTGAGAAGCCCCGAGGCCGAATTACGCCTGAGCCCGCACCGCTGAGCGGCCGTGAGCAGCCTGGAAGCTAGTGGCCGAGGCTTCCTGCTGGAGGCGCCTGCTCTGGACGGCCTGTGCCTTTTGCCCCAGACGCGTTTGCAAAGGCCCGTTCAGAGAGCCCGTTGCCCGCACCCAGCCGGGTACGCGGGATCACACCTCTGGAGCCACTGCCCCGTGCTCCTGGCTCACCGAGGGGGCGTGTGTGCGGGGGGCTCCTGCCCTCTCCCCTCCGACGGTGTCCAGGGATACACTTGACAGGGCGGCCCTGCGGGGTGGCAACAGAGATGGGGGGCAGGGCTGCGATGGAGGCATCCCCAGCGCCAGCCTTCACCGGCCCCTCTTCCTGGCCCATCAGGCTGGCCGGGGGAGGCAGGCTGGGGTTTAGTGTCCTGGCTGCCCAACACAGCTCAGAAAGCGAGCACAGGGCAGGACACGGCGTGGCATCAGTCATGCCACAGCCGAGGGCAGTCGCATTCGAGAACGAGCTGACAGATGCCATGGTGGTGAAGAGGGATGTCTTCCCTCCCCTCCCCGCCCCCTGTGGCCTGTGTCTCCGGCCCTTTCCAGTCCTCATCCTGGAGCGCATCGAGAACGAGGACCTGAGTGGCCGGACCCTCAAGATAACCGACTTCGGCCTGGCACGGGAGTGGCACAAGACCACCAAGATGAGCGCAGCCGGCACCTACGCCTGGATGGCCCCGGAGGTCATCAAGCACTCGCTCTTCTCCAAGAGCAGCGACGTGTGGAGGTAGCGTGGCCGGGGGCAGGCGCTGCAGCGCCCCCCACGGCTTGCCTGTGCAGGAGCGGCCGCAGTGGGCAGGGCCGCCTTCCACGGAGGTAGCCAAGCTCAGCCTGGGGGGCAGCCAGCGCACGTTCTCGCACGATCTGGAAGTCCCGGGGCAACATCAGCCCGCTGCCCCCTGGGGCCGCTCCGGGTCGAGGGGCTTTGTCTCGGTGGTGTGCCATGCGCCGAGTCCCACTTCCTCTGTGCTTCCAGCTTTGGGGTGCTGCTGTGGGAGCTGCTGACCGGAGAGGTGCCATATCGCGAGATCGACGCACTTGCCGTGGCCTATGGTGTGGCCATGAACAAGCTGGCGCTGCCGGTGCCCTCCACGTGCCCCGAACCCTTTGCCCACCTGCTGGAGGGTGAGTGAGTGGCCAGAGCACTCCGAAGGCCCCTGAGCCCTGCTTCCGGGGGGCTCTTGCTCCAAGCGGCGGGGGGCACACATGGCAAGGCCCCCCTCCCACGCACAGAGAAGAACAGGCACTGTAACCCAAGCGAGAAGCCGGACATGTGGGGCTTGGCCAGTGGCTCGGGGTGGCCTGCCCGCGGCCCTGAAACCGGGCAGGAGCACCCATGGGCCAAGACGCTTGCAAATGCCCGTATTAAGGTGCGCGCTCTCGAAACCGCACACTTCAAACCGAGCACTGTGCATTTCAGTCAGTGGAAGAAAAGCGCACTCTTTTGAACAGTGAGGCTTCTTTCCGGTTCAAATAAACTCATCCCAGGTCAGGAGAGAGCCAGGCCAGGCTTTGAAGCAGGACTGGCGGCGCTGGCAACCTCCCCTCATTCTCCCCTCCTGGTGAGCAGCACTGCTGGAGAACCAGGAGGCCTCCTGCCAGGCCGCCGGCCACTTCGCCCCACCACGGATGGGGGTGCCGGGCCCTGCCCCACCTTCGCTGGGCCTGCCTCCCGCTGGTTGCCCCAGTCTGAGCCCCTCCCTGGCCTCCTCAGCCATCTGCCTCAGCCGGTGGAACGGCTGGTGCCCGAAGCCTCTCGGAGGGTGACTAGACTGGCCCGCTGGAGCCCAGACTGGGGGGCCGGCAACAGAGAGGGGCATTTGGGGGGCCCGTTGCTCCCGGAGTGCCCCGCTGCCTGCTGGCACGGGCTGCGCTGCGGCAGGAATCAAGGCAGCCCGGGTCTGCTCGGTGCAACTGCTCTTCCCCGCCGACGCCTCTGCTCCCTTTGGCAGAATGCTGGAGCCCGGAGCCCCATGCCCGGCCGGACTTCCGCTGCATCCTGCGGCGGCTGGTGGCCATCGAGCAGTCGGCCATGTTCCAGATGCCGCTGGAGTCCTTCCACTCGCTGCAGCAGGACTGGAAGGCAGAGATTGCGGCCATGTTCCACGACCTGCGCACCAAGGAGAAGGTGAGTGCCCCCCCCCCGCTGCGGCCAGCACCCCCCAGGAGCATCCTGCGCCTTGGCCCGCCTGGGCCGCTCCGGGCCGGGGGCCGGTCACCACAGCACCGCCCCCACACGTGCCCTCGGGGCCGCCTGCCGGGCCCCGCCGGGGGCCGAACCGGGGCTGGCGGGGAGCCCCCGGAGCCAGTCCGGGCCTCTGAACCCTCCCGCCTCCCCAGGAGCTGCGCAGCCGCGAGGAGGAGCTGCTGCGGGCGGCCCGGGAGCAGAAGAGCCAGGAGGCCGAGCTGCGCCGGAGGGAGCAGGAGCTGGCGCAGCGCGAGATCGACATTGTGGAGCGCGAGCTGCACCTCATCATGGCGCAGATGGGGCAGGAGAAGCCGCGCGTCAGGAAGCGGAAGGGGCACTTCCGGCGCTCCCGCCTCAAGCTGCGCGACGGCAACCGCATCAGCCTCCCCTCAGGTAGTGCTGGCCCTGGGGGGCGCGCAGGGGGCGGCTGTCCCCCATGGGCCCAGGGGGGCAGTGCTCGTGAGCGATCCTCCCCCACTGCCCTCTCCGCAGGCTTCGAGCACAAGATCACGGTGCAGGTGTCGCCCACGCTCGACCGACGGAAAGGGCTGGGCTCCGACGGTGCCAGCCCGCCCGGCAGCCCCGGCATCATCCCCCGCCTGCGTGCCATCCGCCGTGAGTGACCCCCGGCCCGGCCCGGCCCGGCCCCGGGTAGGAGGGAGGGAGGGAGGGAAGGAAGGAGGCAGGGAGAGGCTGGACGCAGCCAGGGGCGGGTTGGGGAGACGCCTCTGGAAGCCCCTCACCCGGCCCCAGCTGCCCTCGGCCTCGCCGCGGACCCCAAGAGGCTGCCCTGGTGATGGAGCGCTCCAAAGGTTTTCCTCAGTGAATGCCCCTTTCCCCAAAGGAGCTCTCGAGGCGGCCCAGGCCATGAGGGCAGCTTCCCCAGGGCCCTCTCAGCCCCCCGCCCCCCGGTGCAGGGCAGGCCAAGCAGGGCAGGGCTGGCCTGCCTTCCCCGGCAGAAAGCGAGCCCTGGGGGGCTTCCCTCACCGCGGCCACCAGGAAGGCCACACAAGCAGCGCCCCTCCGGGGACTGCCGTGGGCTCCGGCGGGTGGGTGGGTGGGCGGGTGGGAGAGGGGAGGCTGGCCTGGCCGGCGCGGAGCTGCCGGGACTCATCCTGCCCGCTCTCCCCGGGCTGCTGCAGTGACCCCCTTGGACGGGAGCCAGACCTGGGGCCGCACCGCCGTGGCCACGCGGGAGGAGCTGGTGGGCCCCAAGAAGAAGGGCCGGACGTGGGGGCCCAGCTCCACCGTCCACAAGGAGCGATTCGGCGGGGAGGAGAGGTGAGGTGTGGGGCTGGGTGGCAGGCCCCTGGCGGGGGACACGTGCGTGTGCCCGTGGGGGCGCCTGGCACTCAGGCGGGGTGGCCCGCTCTCTGCTCCACCTGTGCAGGTTGAAGTCCCTGGCCGAGGGCAGCAAGCAGTGGTCCTCCAGCGCCCCCAACCTGGGCAAGTCCCCGAAGCACGTGCCGCTGGCGGTGGGCTTCGCCAGCCTCACGGAGATGGGTGAGCCCCCCGCACCCTCTGGAGGTCACTGGGCGGAGGAGGACGGAGCCCCTCGCCAGCTGGGGCGAGGCCTGGTGGGTGGGCGCGGAGGGGCGCCCGGCAGCTCCGGTCTTCAGGTCTCAGGCTGCCTGCCAGACGGGCAGAGGACAGGTGAGACTGGCCCAGAGGGACCCGGCCCAGGAGGCGCCGGTGTCCAGGTGGGCGTCTGACTCCGCAGCCCCCTGCCTCTCCCAGGGTGTGCCGGGCCGCCCGGGCAGCGCCATTTCTGCCTCCTGGCCGTTGGGCCCCCCAGCCCTTTCCTCCCGCTCCTTCCGGCTGGAAGGGCCTCCTGGGGCCGGTGGGTGAGCAGGGGCTCCGTGATCCCTGCGGAGAGCGGCTTGCCTGCCTCGGGCCCTCAGGTGTGGGGGCATCGGGGGCGTACCCTGCAAATACTGACAGGCACTTTCTCCGTCCCCCCAGAGGAGTTCGCCGAGCGGGGAAGCAGCACGCCGCAGTCGCCCGACTTCCCCCTCCTCCCACCGGGAGCAGCAGCAGAGGCCAGCGGGCCTGGGGGACCCCCTGCCGCCGAGGGGCCCAGGCGGGGCCCGGCCCCCTCCCACCGGCGCAGCGAGCTGGTGCTCCTGAGCTGCGCGTCCATCCTGGCCTCCATCGCCCTGGGCGTGGAGCTGGTGGAGCTGGTGGGAAGGGGGGTGCAGCCCCAGGGGCCCCCCTCCGGGCCCCCCAGCTCCGCCACGCTCCTGTCACTCTCGTCCCTCTCCGACTGCAACTCCACCAAGTCCCTCCTGCCCTCGGACAGCGACGAGGCCCCCGCCTACGAGAGCCTGGCCCCCGCCCCCTGCCCCAACGCGCTGGTGGACGTCACCGCCGAGAGCTTCAAGAGGGACCCCCGGCAGTCGCTCACCCCAACGCACGTCAGCGCCGTGCAGGCCGTCCCCCGGGGGCACCGTCGGACGCCGTCGGACGGGGCCCTCCAGCAGAGCCCGCAGGGGCCCGGCTGCCTGGGTGAGCCCCCAGCCCACAGGCCTTGCTGGAGCGGGGCGCCGGGAGCCCTCTCCCCAGGCCTGGCCCAGCAGCAAGGCCAAAGGCGGGCGGGGGGCCTGAGGGGCCGGGGGCGTGCGCTCGCGCTGAGCACCTCTGCCAGAAGAAGGCAAAGGAGGCCCCTCGGATACGGTGCTGTGCTCGGGGGGAGGAGAAGGGGGGGGGGGGGAGTCCGTTTTTGTCCCCACAGGCACGGGCAGGGCAGCTGCCTTGTGCCCCCAGGCAAAAGAGCACCGGCAGCCAGTGGGGGTGCCGAGAGCACCCCGAATCCAGAGAGGCCTGCTCTCATGCAACACTCCCCCCGCCTTCTCTTGCTCCTCCAGGCTCGCGGGAGGTGCTGCCCTTCGCCCCCTCCTTCCTTGCCTCCCGCGCCCACCCCCAGGGGGCGGAGCGGCCCACCCTGAGCGCCGTGCTGGTGGAGCGCCCGCGGACCCTCGCCTTCGCGGCCCGTCCGCGCCCGTCCGCAGGCCGCCATCGCATCGACCCCTGGAAGCTCGTCTCGCTGGGCCGGGCACCGGGAGGCGCTTCTTCGCCGGGCGAGGCCCCCCCACGGGCGCCGTCCTTGCGTCAGACCCTCCTGGACGTGGACATGGAGGGCCAGGCCCGGGACAGCACCGTGCCCCTGTGCGGGGCGCGGAACCCCTGCTGCCGCCTCGAGGCGGACGTGTCCCACTGACGTGGGGCGCCCCCCGGGCCGGGCCGGCCGGAGCATTCCCGCCCGTGCCGGCTGGGCGGCCCTGGGATGAGGCCGGGCGCTCGGTGGCGGGGCATCGCCAGGGGCGAAGGACCGTGCAGGGTGCCGTATTTATTGACGGGGTGGGGTGGGGGCGGGCAGGCGGAGCTCTTTTCCGAGCAATGTGGCCGCTCAGCCTGCAGGAGGCGCCAGGCGGAGGGTGTCTGCGCACGCGTGCGCCGGTAAGGACATCCGTCCGCCCGCCCGCGGGCCACCCCTGCCAGGCCCTTGCGGCGCTGCCCGGCCTCGGCATCCGTGACTCTGATCGTTCTGTTTTGTGTGCTTGATTTTTTAAGCGTGTGTTGGAAAAGTAAAATGTTTGCCTTCCTTTTTCCCTCCTCTGGCATAATTTCTCCACGCTGCGGCCACGGCGCGCAGGGGGCGAGGGCCAGCTGTGGGCGCTGCTCCGGATGCCCCGAAACGTGGGTTGCAGCACAGGCCAGGTCCGCACCCGCCGTCCCTCCGAGGAGTTCCGGCACCGCTCGCTCTTCCTGCCCTGGCTCCGCTTCGGGGCTGAACGGGGCTCGCAGCCGGGCCGGGGGTTCTGCCCCACAAGGCTGCATGAGGCGACTTTGCCCACCGGACTGCAGCCCACCCGCCTTGCCTGCCCGGCATGTCCCGCCCGTCCCCTCCGGCACCACGGCCATTCTGGGTGCAGTGCTGCTTGAACTTCCCAGGTGCGCCTCTCCCTTCTGCCGCGACCCCTCCTGCCACCCCGGCGCAGGCCCCCTCCTCAGTCGGAACCAGGGAGCCGTCCCACACCTGACGGTGCACTTCAGAGAATCCGAATCGCGATCAGCGAGCTGGAGGGGGCCAAGAAGGCCAGCGAGTCCAACCCTCTTCAGTGCAGGACCCCACTGGAAGCAGCCCCTGACAGGGGCTTGCCAGCTGCCCCTCGAAGGCTTCCCGTGTGGGAGAGCCCCCCTCCCCCCCGCCATGTGGGTCATGGGTGCCGTGGTCATACTGCAAGAGTTGGGAGGTTTTTCCTGATCTCCAGCCAGAGTCGGGTTTCCTGGAACATAAGTCGGCAGTCTGGGAAAACTGACGAGAGATCCTGGCCCTCCTCAGGGCCCCCCTGCCCAGAGTCCTCCCCAGGCTAAACATGCCCTGTCCCTCCCATCTCTCCTCACAGGGCTGTTTCCAGCCCCCTGATCACCTTGGTTGCCCTCTGAGCTTTTCCCAGCTTGTCTGCATCTTTCTTGAAGTTGGGAGCCCAGAAGTGGACACAGGACTCCAAGACAGGGCCCGATCCATGCCAAACAGAACCAGCACCCACGCAATTTGGAAGCGACGCTTCTATTCATGCATCAGCAGCCACGTCACTCCATTGACTCGCGTCCCACCTGCAGTCCATGACTGTTCCAAGCGCCTTCTCGCTCGCGGTGCTGCGGAGCCAGGTGTCCCCATCCTGCAGCCGTGCCGCGGTTCCTCCTTCCTCCGTCCTCTGTCCCTGCAGAACTTCGCTCCGCTGCCGCCGCCGCCGCCAGTGCCCCAGCCGCGCGCGACCACCTCGAGTCCTGCTTCTGCCCCGCAAGGCACTGGCTCTCCCACCCAGGGCTGCTTGGCACAGCCTTCTGCTGGGGGGCCCCGAGGCCACCAGCCATGTGTGCCAGGAGCGCCCCCCCAGTGCTGCAGGGGGACATGCCGCCAGCGGGAGGCAGGCCGGCCCCTCTCTCCGTGCCACCTGCCTCCGCATCCGGCAGTGGAGCCCGGGGGCACCAACCGAACTGCTGCCCTGGAAGCTCAGTGGCTCTGACCCAGGAGGGCGCTTCCCGTCCTTTGCCCCCTCCCTCTCTCGCACCGCAAAGGCCCTCTGCCCGCTCCTCCCTCGCTGACGTTCCTTACTCAGAAGAGACTGCCCCTGGTGCTGCTGGCCCCGATTCACTGCACGGGGTGGGGGGGAGATGCCGGGCACGGGGGGGGGGAGCAGCTCACCGGGCCCAGACAGGAGAGCCCTTCCCCTGGTAGCTCGGAAGCCGGCTGCCCCAGCACGCCCAAGCTCTGAAAACAGCCTCCCCTGCGCGGCCCCTCCGCGCCTCCCCTCTGCTCAGCCGCCAGGGCCCGCCTGAGCCCACCCAGCGCCCCAGGAGGGGGGAGCGAGCGGATCACGCCGCTGTGAGGACAAGCGCCGGGGGGGCAGACCAAGCCCCGCAATGAGCCAGGCCCTCCGGTGGGCAGCATCCTCCCCGCACCCTGGCTGTGGGTCAGGCTTGTCCTGCTGCGGAGAGGGGGAGAGCCCATCATCTGCGGTTCCTCCCAGCAGTCCGTGACTCTGGGCCAGGTGCCAGCGAGGCCGCCTGCATCGTGCCCGGTGGGCGCAGTGCAGAGCCGTCCCCCGGCCACCGCGGGGACGGATGCGAGGCCTTCCCGGGCTGCCCCAGCCAGTCTCCTCCGCAGCCCTCCTGCCTTCTCTCCCCCTCTGTCTCCAGCACCAGCTGCGGCGCGAGCCCAGCTTGGCACGGGGAGGGGGGCAGCGGGACGGCCATGGGTGCTCGTGGGCGGCAGGGGTGGCCACGCGTCTCAGGCGGGGAAGGAGGCCCGGCCCCCCCACCCCACCCTCAGCCCCCAGGCCTCCCTCCGCAGACCCTCCCCAGCTCCGGAGCGGCTCCAAGGCTGCCTTCCTGCCTCTGCTTTGCCCACCGTGGCGGTGGCTTCCTCTGCCCAGTCCTGCAGCGGCACGTCCGCCAAATCCTCACGCAAGAACGCGAGCGACAAAAAAGTGACCCCAGCAGAGTTTGGGCAAAATGCTACATTATCAGACGCCGCGGCCAAGAGACCTGGGCCAGGCTGTCCTGCCGGAGCCGCTTTCTCGGGGGAGCCCTGGCCGCGGCCGCTGCCGGCCCGTGACGCAGGCGGCCCCCTCCGGGATCGTGGCAGGAGCACATGGCCCCGGGCACTGCTGGCCCCGCGTGCGGAAGGCTCTGTCCATCGGTGGGGCGCTGGCCGGCAGGCCTGGTGCTCGCTACTTGCCCGCTTCCTTGTCGCGCTGGTTGCAGCGGCTGATCTTGATCTCTGTGAGCTGAATGTAGCGCAGGACGTTGGTGTCTGTGGGGAGGGATGCTGCACTGGAGCACGGCCAAAACAGCCCCCTGGCCTTGGGGGGCCCTCCACAGCCCGCCTGCCCCCCGCCGGGCACCTCGGGAGCCCAAGAGGTAGCAGTGAAGGCCACCTGCACAGACAGGCCGCCTCCCCGGCCCGGCCCAGAGACACCAGGAAGGGGGGGGGAGGGGGCTTCTGCCTGCCCAGCGGGGACCGTGCTCCAGAGCCCTGCGGCCCCCCACCCCCAGCTGGCCCACGCGCCAGCCCTGCGGCTGCCCTCCCGCCATGGGGCGCCCGCACCCACCTGTGGGCTCGCGGTTCTTGGCCTCTTTCAGGTAGAGCAGTGCGTTGCCGTAGTCGCCCAGGTGGTAGAAGGCGATGCCCGCCCGGTACATGGCTTTGAAGTTGCTCCTCTCCCGGGCGAGCACCTTGAGGCAGTACTCCCGCACCCGCTCGTAGTTCACCAGCTCCGACTGCAGCAGGCAGGCTGGGGGGCCAGAGCAGGAGGGCGGTGAAGGCGGCCGCCCCGGGCCCCCGTCTTGCTCAGCAGGCGCCAGCCCTCCCGAGCCACCCGCTGGCGGTGCAGGCCCATTGGCGACTGCCGCTGCGACCTGACGCTTCCTCTGCTCCAGACACCAAGCTGGGCCTGGGCCTGCCCCCCCACCCCCCAACGCCCCTTCTGGATGTCTTTCTGGAGGCCAAATGAGCACAAGTTGCCAGGTCTCATCTAAGGCTGGAAACCGTGGCGGCCCAGTCTGGAGGGATGGGGGAGGGCGGCCCCCAGCCAGACGGCCCACACACCTTTCCTGGCTGTTCTGCTCTGCTCGCCACCTCATTCTGCCTAAAAAGCACCTTCACAGGATGCAAAGCACAATGCCAGCCCCGCCTGCTTGGAATTTCACCTTCCTTTCCAAAAAGGAAAGCAAGTCACTAGTCCCTACCATGGCAAAGACAGGAAGGCCCTGAGCAAGAGACTAAACAGGATCCCTGGGAGGGGCGGCCCACCGGTGCCTCGCACCATGCGCACGGCCCGCCCTCATGAGTGGCGCCCACAAACGTTTCGAAGGCACCCGGGGCTGCATCTGCAGCGGCTTTTCATTTGCATTTTGCGTTATTCCATGACTGCCAGAATCGAGACAGTTAATTAGCTATAAATACATTTAAAGCATTGGGCAAGCATGTCAAACCAAGACGGCCCAGACCCTGACCCCCACCCCAAGCCATGGAGCGCCGTGGAGCCAGTCACTCTCACGCAGCCTGTCCTACTTTGCAAGGCTGTTGTGAAAATGAAACCAGAGCAGGGGAACCCACGAGTGCTTCCTTGAGCTCTTCGGAGGAAAGACAAGACAGCCATGCCATCGGATGGAAATCTGAACTGTTATCTGGGCTCAGGGCTGCAGCCCCGCAGCCCAAGCACCTTTGGCCAAGTGGGACATTTCAGGCCCCGGGTGGGTGCCTCGCCTGCGGGAGGGGGCCCCACAGAAAGAGAGGGGAGGGGAGAAGCTCACAGGGGTGGGCTTTGAAAGGGAGGAGAGCGCTCCTCACTCCAGGAAGGCTGAGCAGGCAACCCACCCGCAGGAGGGCTGCCTCTGTGGCCCCTCCACAGGGGACACGCGCTCCAGACAGTGCCCGGGCCATCGCTGGGGCAGTCCAGGAGGTCTGCGTGGGTGCAAGAGGACTTCCTCTCGGGCTCCGCATTCGGGTCAGTGCCGACCCTGCAGGGGAAGCTTCGTGGGGGGGTCTCTCCCCCCAAGCGCCTCACTGCCTGCCTGCCTCCCGCAGGGGTTTCTAGAGACAGAATTCAGCATGAGGCCGAACTCGGACGTGCTCCCGCAGCAGGACGCACGGAAGCAGGGCTGCCACTCTGAGGCACAGGCACCCCAAGCCAGCACAACGTTGGGACCAGGCTGGGGGCTGGACACAGATCCGGCCGGGAGCCCGGAAGCTGCATCTGCTGCCACGGCTCCACTGCGGCCTGCGCTGAGCCCCCCACAAGCAGGGGCCTGTCTTCGAGGGGACGGAGAGAGGGAAGCCCTCCGTGGTGCCTCTCGGCCGATTCCCTGTCCAGCTCAAGATGCGGAGCTGCAAAGAAGCGGGTGGGCTCATGCCCCCCACCGTGACCAGCCCGCCTGGCTCCCTGGAGGACAGGAGGCCGGATTCCCCGGAGTGCCTCCTCCGGGCGCGGCGCAGCTCTGCAGCCCTTACCTGTCAGGCTGTTGTAGCACTCGACTTCGGTGCTCTCCACCAGCGCCCGCTGCTCCTCGGAGAGGCAGTGCCAGCCGCTCCTGCCCAGAATGCTCTTCTCCGCCACAGCGGCCACGGCGGCCCCCCGGTCAGCGGCCGGTTCCAGCCCCTTCAGCTGCAGCAGCGCCCGATGGTACTTGCCGATGGCCTCGCGGAATTTCTTCTGCTTGTAGCACCGGCTGCCCTCCGCCTTGAACTCCACGGCCCTCTGGATCTTGGCCTCCAGCTCCGGGTTGGCGGCGGCGGCGTGGTGGGCCCAGAAGCCCCCGCCCCCGCCGGCCACCACGACGGCGGCCGCGCTCCCCGCCCCGGCCTCCGGGCAGCTCTTCGCGTAGAGGCCCCGGTCCTCCATGTCGCCCTTCCTCACAGGGACCGGGCCATGCCGGCGCAGCTCGAACGCTTGTCTCCGCTGCACGGTCTGGAAGAGCGTGCTGTGCATAAAGGAGGCGCCGGGGGCGGGCGGCGAGGAGCGGCGGCGGCGGCGGGAGCAGCGGGCGCTCCTTCAGCACCGAGGACAGCGCGCTAGTGCATTGTGGGAAACTCCCGCTGCCTCCGCGCCAGCCTGACCTCGGATGCTTCGGAGCCGAGCAGCGGGTAGGAGTCCCTTCCGCTTGGGGGGGCGGAGCAGCGGAGGGAAGGAGGGACGGAGGGCCCGGAAGCGAGCCCTCGCCCGGCTCTTTGCAGGGAAGGGGGAGGGGGAAATCGGGGGTCTTCACAGGTCTGGCTGAGCTGGTCTAAAGCCCTTGGCCTCTTTTCGGTGCCAGCTGCCCAGCCCTGGGTCAAGAGATGCCTGCAGCACCAGACTGCCTCGGAGCATGTGCAGACTGTGCCGGCCGGCCTGTGGTCACCGAGGGCTCTCGGAGTGCGGGTGGTGCTTCCTTCTTGCGAGTCCCTGGCTAGCAGAGAGAGGAAGGCTGTGCTGCAGCCTGGCCAGAGGAGGGGCCTTGGGCAGGACCCCTCAGCCTGGGGCTCCCACCGCCACCAGGGCACGTGCCCGGGACTCCCAGCGAGCCCGGCTCTGCATTGCCCAGAGGCCCGTCAGCAGACTGCCCCGGGAAGGGGAGGGATGCGGCACCCCCACCAGCTCCCCCTGGGAATGCCGCGCCTCCTCAGCGAACAGGCATGTCCTCCATCCGTCATGGCTCAACAGGCGAAGCGTTTCACAATTAACGGGTTGCCACAATGTGGGGCCATCTCCACGTCCGGGGACAAGGTGAGGGTCTCGCTTGGGTGGCCAGGGAGGGGGATGGCATCGAAACTGCCCACCCCTGTGACCCTGCGCTGGACCGATTCTAACCTCGCTCTCTCCCCTGCAGTGTGGGGCCCAGACCTGGACGCAGCACACCAGTTGTGTTGAGCGGTATCAACACCTCCCTGGACCTGGAAGCTGCACGTCTGGCCATGCATTCAAGGGGGCCTGCATGTGCAGGGGCCCCTGCCCGCTGATCTGCCTTACGGCCCTCTTCGCATCCCCGCTGGGGCCCCGCAACGGCTCCCCCCAGCTAATCAGCGGCGTCACTGAGGCTTGCGGCACTTGGCGCCATCCACCGGCCCTGAGCACTCTTGCCTGCCCGCACCCTCTCCGGGAGGCTTCCCCAGGCTGGCCTTCGACCGACCGCAGTGGGCCCTCGAGAAGCCCCCGTCCCAGGGCCTGGCCCTGGCCCACCGCTCAGCCCTGCTGTGGCTCAGCAGCACGCTTCCTTCCAGAAGCCCGCCAGCTGCCGTGAAGCTCGCCCCCCTGGGATGCACCATGGCGCAGGGCTCCGCCCGGGGGCCTCCGTGTCGCCAGGGCAGAGGTGGCCCGGGGGGCCCTGCTCTTGCCAGCGGCACCCGCCTTGCCTGCATCCCCACATGCGGCCGCAGAGTCTCCAGGAAAGAGAAGACACATCCCAACCTGCGTGGCCAAGAGGAGGCCACCAAGGGAGAGAATAAAACACTTTATTAGACACTTCCAAAGTCCCATTTTCTTACAGTCAACTTTTTTGAAGCCCCCTTGTGGCCTTTCAAGGGGGCAGGGGGGGCGTGGGGGGCCGATGGCCCAGGGACTTCCCAGCACTATTTTGTAGAGAGAGAAAGAGGCAGAAGACAGTGGGTTGCATGGAGAGGAGGAGGAGCAGGTGGGTGGGAGGGACGAGGTGGGCTTCCTTGACCCCGGGCACATGACGGGGAGCGCTGTGTGGGGCCCAGCCACATGGCTGGCCTGGAGGAGGGCCGGGCCGGGCCTCGGCGCTCTCCCCCTCCCCACCTGCCCTCCGCCCCACGCAGGTGGCCGCCCCAGCCATTACTCCGTCAGCCGGTCGGCAAAGGGTCCTCGCTGCGTGCCGCAGGCGGTGGCGGCCCAAAGGGGGCGCTCCAGAGCCCCCCCGCTTCGGTGCAGGGGGCGCTCTCCAGGCAGCGGCTCAGGAACGTGGAGGCGGCGATGGCCGGGCTGGTGCTAGTGCAGAGTTTCTGAGGCCGGGAGAACTTCAGGAAGGTGGCCCGGAAGGGGGAGCTCGGCCCCCGCAGAGCAGCCTTGGCCAGGTAGGGGTACACCAGGGACAGCTCCGCCTCGCTGCAACGGGAGAAGCAAATGGGACCCCCTCCAAACTCAGCCAAGAGCGGCAAGAGACAGGAGGCCTTGGACAGTCCTCTGGGGGCTGGGCCACCTTCCCAGAAGCCTCCAAAATGGAGAGGGCGGGGGGCTGCCAGGGGCTGCAGAGCCTGGCAGGGGAGGGGGCTCCTTGCTGCTGAAAGCCCGCTCCACATTCCTAGCCTCAGGAATCCGGCTCAAATGGGAAGCCGAGGCTGGCGGAGGCCGAGCGCACGCCTGTCAGGCCAGCAGAGGCTGCCCCAGCAGAGCTGCCCTCTCCAAAGCAAAGAGGGCATCCCTGGACCCCGAGGGGGCCGCCAGTTATAGACCGGTGGCCAACATCCCGCTTCTGGGCAACGTGTTGGAGCGGGTGGTGGCGGGACAACTCCAGGCACTCTTGGACGAAACGGATTATCTGGACCCATTTCAGCCCTGTTTCAGCCCCGGTTACGGTACTGACTCAGCCTTGGTTGCCCTGAACGGTGACCTGTGCAGGCAGCACCCCCTCTAAGGGACAGGGCCCACGGCTTGGGAGTCTCCTGGACCTAGAGCTGTCCCTGGAAATCCAGGGTGGCGAGGAGCACCTTCCTCCAGCTTCGGCCGGTCCATCAGCCGCATCCTTTCCTGGACGAGCACTGCCTGGCAGCGGCGACACATGCCCTGGGAACTTCCTGGTTGAATTACTGTAACGCACTCTACGTGGGGCTGCCCTTGAAGACAGTCCGGATACTTCAGCTGGTACAGAATAGAGCTACCAGGTTGCTGTCGGGGGCCAGTCATTTTTCTCATATAACGCCCGTCCTCTATCAGCTACACTGGCTCCCAGCTGAAGTCCGGGCCCAATTCAAGGTGCTGGTATTAACCTATAAATCCCTTCGATCCAGAATAGCAGAAGAATCACCACCTCCCCTATATGCCCTCACGCCCCTTAAGAGCGGCAGGGGAGGCCTTGCTCCGGGGACCCTCCTTGAAGGAAACGCCGCGGCTGCCTCCCCGGAGCTGGGCCTTCTCCGCAGAGGTGCCCAGCAGGCGCTCCCACCTGTATGCAAGCAGCTTCGGAGGGCCCTCCTGGGAGGCATCCACACCCGGGAGGCCTGCCTCATGCAGCAGCAGCCGCCGGGCCAGGCACAGAGCAGCCAGGGACAGCCGGGCTGGCTCAAACCGCATGCAGTCCACTTCCAGCAGAGAGAGCTCCAGGAAATACAGGGCCAGGTACTGGACCTGTGCGGGCAGGAAGCACGCCGTGGGAAGGGGGCCGGCAGCCCGGATGCCCTGCCCAGTCCTTGCCAGCCAGGCGCCCCACCCCCGTCAGGACCCCCTTCCCCTGGTAAGGGGCAACGTGAGCCTGCCTCTGAGCACGTGGAGAGTGCCCCCCACTCGGCCCTGCTCTGGGTAATCCGGCCCTGCCGGTCTGGGAGGCTCCCAAGGCAGGCGACGCCGGTTGAGGCCACGCTTGGCTCTCGGCAAGTCCTGCAGGAGGGGGGAGCGAGGCCCCCTCACCCGACGCTCACCTGTGTGGAGCAGTGGTCCACCTCCGCCAGCAGGTGCAGCGAGTGGACGGGGTTTGCATAGTGCAGCTCAAATTTGAGGCGTGTGAGGATCTTGCGCTCCATGCGCAGGAGGTCCTTCTGGCTGAAAGAGTCTTCCGCCATGAAGCACAGCTGCGCGAGCTGCAGGGAAGGGACGCCTGGCAGCTGATGGCAGTGGGGGGGGGGGGGGACACGCCCCGCGCGGCAATCTCCGAGCAGAGCCTCCATTCCCGTGAAACTCACACCTGCCCGCACCCACCGCCACGAGGCTAGCCGCCGGAGGCTGAGCACGTATGCTCTGCTCAACGGCTCCCGGCAAGGCCGAGGAACCCCGCAGTGCCCCCCTGGGGCCTCCCGGGCTGCCCGCAAGGAGGACACGGAGGCAGAAGCACCCGTGCCACACTCCGCGCTTCCTCCCATTGGCCGGCACCCGGGGCAGGCTGCCCTCAGCAGCCCCACAGGGTCCCCCAGGAGGACCCCTCCGCGGCCCATCTGGTACCTCTGGGCAGGAGCTCTCCTCCACTTTGCAGGAGAGGAAGAGGCAGGTGAGGCCGAGGAGCTGCAGGGCGGACACCTGCACCCTGCCCGCCCTCATGTAGGCGTTCATCAGGTGCACGGCCAAGTACAGGGTGTCGTCGGCCAGGTCCAGGTAGTCCTAGGGAGGAGGCAGGCAGCAGAGGACTGCAGGCGATGGCGGGGGGGGCAGCCTGCAGCACAGCCCCCCCTTGCTCAGGTACAGGTAGGCCACCTGAGCTTGTGAAGCAGAGCCAGGGCACAGTTGTTGCTGGGTGGCGGGCTGGGTGGCTTGGGGGAGCCGTGGGCTAATTTTTGTCCCGCTGGATCAGCAGATACCCACCTGCCACGCTACCATGCTTCCACGGTAAAGCGGGGTCGTGGGGCTGCCCCCTCGCCCCCCTCCAGTTTGCAGGCAGATGTGTTCCCAAGGATACGCCAGCAGCCCCGGTCCAGCCCAGCTTCGCAGCCCCCGCAGAGGGGCAGATCTCCAATTCCGCGAAGAGCGAGAGGCACGTGAGAGCAGGGTGGCCCCTTGCAGCGGGTCCAGTGGCCGCCCGGGTGGGGAGGCTTGGAGGGAGCCAGCCCCACAGCAGCTGGAGGAAGGTGTGGGCCTCCCTCACAGCCTCGCCTGTTCCCAGGAGGCCCCCCGGACACCTACGTGCACTTGCACCAGCCAGTCGACAACGAGGGCACGCATCTCCGCCGTCACCGAGCGCGGCAGGCTGAAGCCCCCAGGTGCGAGCGAAGGCTGCTTCCGCTGGCGAGGGGAAAGACGGGTCAGGCCCTCCATGTGCCCCGGCCCCCACGGCCTCCAGGCTCTGGTGGGCCACTGCCCTGGCGTGGCGGGCGAGCAAGGGAGCTCGGAGGCAGGGGCCGGCTGCGGTGGCGTCGGGGCTGGGGAGCTTCACGCACCATCAGGCTGCCGAAGATGTCGCGGGCATACTCGCTCTCCGGTGCCATGCCCAGCCGCGCCAGGGCCCGGGGCAGCTCCTCCGCCAAGCACTCCGAGCCAGAAGCCCCTGGGGCAGGGAGAGGAGGCGACGGCTGTGGGTCAGGCAGCTCGGCACTGCCCGCAGCAGCCCACCCGGGACAGCTCCCCACCCCTTGAGGCGCCATGCGAGCCGAGCCAGCATGAGGGGGTGCATGTCGGGCCCTCAGAGTGGCTCTTTCCTGAGTGGGCTTCCAAGCAGGGGATGCGCAGCCTTCGTGGCCCTCGGGGAGGAGGAGGAGAGCCTCCCGAGTCTCCAGGACAAGCCCGGGGGGAGGCGGGGAGCCCAAGGCATGCCCACCTTCCCGCTCACCCCCCACGTTGCCCACCCACCTGCTCGCCCCCCCGCGGCCCGCTACCATGGTGCGTCCCACGCCCCACGTGCCGCTGGGCGCCTCTCATCCTGCAGCATGCTCACCTCTCTGCGGAGGGGGCTCTGCGGGGGTCCCAGGGCATGCAGGCCCCAGCTTCTCAGGCACAGCCTCCTCTGCCTCTCCGCAGCTCTCTAGGACCCTCTTCTGGAAGAGAAACCTCTGCGTGTGGTCTGGGGGCAGAGTTTGGCGGCAGATGCACTCCATCGACTCAGCTTCCTTCTGGAGGCGGCAGCGGGAGGGGAGGATGAGGGCTGCGCTGGCAGAGCGTTCCCCTCATGCCTGCAAATGAGGGCTGGGCCGGCGGAAGCCCCGTGCGGAGTTCCGTGGGGTGGACGACACGCCTTCGTGTGGCTCATGGCCAGCTCGGGCCAGGGGCTGCAGTGTCAAGCCACCGAAGATGCCCGCACGCCTCCAGAGCCCAGAGCCCAGAGCCAGACGGGCAGGCGGGCAGGCAGCTGAACGGGTGCCCGAGCCCCGAATTCAGCCAACCCCACCGGGCCCTCCCACTCAGGGGCTGCCGGGCTCTTCCATGCACCTTCCACAGAGCTGGTGCCCTCATGACAGGATGCCGCCCTTTGCAGGAAACCCCGCACAGCCATACCCTGACGCAAGCAAGGGCGCCCACACAAGCCCCGTAAGCCGCTCTGCCAGTGGCCAAAGGGGCCCCTCAGCGACACAGCAAGGCCCTGACCCAAGGCTGCAGTGGGCTTCCAGAGGCCCCGTGGACCCAGAGCACAGCCCTGGTTCCCCACCTGCTGGTTCAAGCGGAAAGGAATCGGAAGGGCTTGGGCCCTTCCCAGGAGTGCCCTCATCCTGCTCCTCCCGCATTAGAGGGAAGAGCCAAAGGTTATTATGAAAGGCAGACAAGCAGGACCCCCAACAAAATGCCAGTAGCCACGCCACTCAATGACAGCGCTCAGCGATCAGGCCTCCCCCCGCCCCCGCCCCACACGTCTCACGGCCCTCCGGTGGCCCTGAGCCTGCTCAGGCCTTGTCCGTCTGACTGCTTGGGGAAGCCGCCACACTTCCACCTGGCGGGGACTTCTGCAGAGCTGGCCCTGGCCCTGTGGACGGGTCCCCCGCGGGGCTGCCCAGGCCGCTCGTTGGTGCTCCTGCTCCGTAGGCGCTGACCCCCGTGGCACAATTCGGGCGATGCCCGGCACAGAGGAGAGCTTCAAAGACCGGGCTTGGGGGGGGGGGTCAAGGCTGGCCTGAGCCCCAGCACCTGTCCGTGTGCAGGGAGATCACGGCTGCCCTGCCCGGCCACAAGGCACAGTCCAGCCTGTGCTGGGACCCCCCCCCCCCTTTCCGGCTCCCTTCCCCTTGCCTGGGCCTTCGCTGCTCCTGCTTTCCGGGGCACCCCACTTTTCATCCACCGGCAGTGGGGTACGCTTGTGGGGACTTCCGGGGCAAAGAAAGCTGAGCACCCCCTTCCTGCCCTCTCCCGTGGGCCAGGCGGCGCGGGGACGAGGGGGAGGAGGGCTCCGCGGTGCCGCAGCCGAGCAGGCGCTCTTCGGCCTCCGCCCCGCCCCGCCCGCGACCCCAGGAGGGCGCCCTGCTCGGACCCCCTCGGGGGCCGCCGGCCTCGCCGCGCCGCGCCCCCCCCCGCCCCCCCCCCCAGCGCTTCCCCAACTCGCTTCTTCGGTGCGGGAGGGGAGCTAACACGCGCCTCGGCCGGAGGAGAGCGGGCAGCTCCGCCCGTTCCCCAGACCCCGTGGGAGGCGCTCCTTCCCACCCGTCCCCGAGCTGCACCCCCCACCGAGCGCGGTTCCCGCCGTACCCCCTTTCGCAGCACCGGCCAGGGCCTCCTCGCGTGGTACGCCGCCGGCTTGCCCATCACGCTGGCCGCCATGGCCGCCAGGGCAGCGCGGGGTGGAGCGGCGACCTCAGCCCGGCCCGGAGCAGCACGCCGGCCGCGGCCCCAGGTGGGCTCAATTAGGCCTCATTAGCAAGCCGCCGGGAGCGGGAAGGCCTTCGACACAAGTGCTCGCTTCCCGGAAGAGGCCAACGCCGCAGCGCGGACCCGCTCCTGCGTCCTGCGCCGTAAACGAGCGTCCAGGCAGCCCTCACACACTCGGACCCTTGCGGGGCTGGGGGCCGGCAGTCAGAAAGACCCCCGAGTTGCCATCTGCACAGCACCTGCATGGGCTAATTTAGATCTGTATAGGCACATTTATAGTAGTTTACTAGGGTTGGCTTAAGTTTCCCAAAAGGAAAAACCAGCCAGTTAATGTCAGCTCCTGATCCCCCCTCCCCTTCACCGGTTTGGGCCCGGCTCGTGCGCACCCCAGAGGCCTAGTCCGGCAGCGGCGTGCGGGGCTGGCCTTGCCTCCCCCGCTGCAGCGCCGCCCGAAGGGCCGCCGTCTTGCGGACCAGGGCCGCTGGGCTTTGCCGAGCAGGTGGGGCCTCCTGGCCACCGGCTGGGCAAGCGGCACGAGACCTCCGGCTTGCAGGCACTCGGCCGCCCCGCCCCCGCCCCCGCGGAAGCGCCGGCGGCGAGGCAGCGGCTTGGGCTCTCCCGCTCCGCGGCTGGCGGCGCTGCGGGAAGCCGGCTGGACGGGGCAGCGGGCGGCCTGCTCAGGCAGCGAGGACGGGACGGGACGGGACGGGAGGCGAGGGCTGCAGGGGAAAGCGGCGCCCGGCAGCGCTCTCCGCCGCACGACCGTCGCCGGCTACCTACCGGGGGCGAAAGATAGGCCACGCGGGGGGAGCCAAGCGCCGCCGCCCCCCCACCGGGATCCAGGCGGGCTCGCCTGCTTGGAACAGGGAGGCCGCATCTCAAACGGGCCTCGAGAAGGAAGAAACGAAGGGGCGAGAAACCTGCGGGTGGGAGGAAATGAAGCCCCCCGTCGTTCCGAGGCTGTCCAGGCTTCCCGAGTCCGTGTGGCCTCCCGAGGAGCCCCTCTGCCAGGAACAAGGCAGCCGGTGTGCTGCCGAGGACCCTCCAGCCAGCCTTCCCCAACTGCCCCCCCCCCACCCCAAACGAGCATCACCCTCAGCTCCGGGCAGCTGTCAGAGGCCGGGGGGCCGAGGCTACAGCCAAACGCGCCCGTTGCCCTCCACTGCCTTGGGCTATAGCACAGCTGGCAGCCTTGCCCTGCTGGGGGGCGGGAGGGGGGTGCCTGGAAGACACCGAGCAGCAGACATAAGCCAAGTTGCCATTTAATTGGACTCAACTGCTCGTGTACCTCATGCAAGGTTTGCTTAGAGCCTTAGGCTCGTTCTGGGAAATGGGAGTTCATGTTTCCGAGAGAGATTTGGAAAGAGCGGCGAGACACAGCGAGATGAGCAGCGCCCATCCTAGAAAGAAAACAAAACCTTTATTGCTTGTACCGTACAAATCCAAGGGCAGAGGAAGGCACCTCTGAGGACTACAAAAACCAAGCCCCTTCCAGGCCTCGAGTTCATCAGCACATTGACCAAGGATGCCCGGACGTGGGTGTGTCTCCAGTAGTCCTTATTTTACAAACTGAACTCATGCTCTTGGGCGAGTGCCGGGCGAGGGCCAGCCACAGTCCGAAGTGCCGCTGGGACTGCTTTTCTGAGCGAGAACGAGAAACACACGCGCAGCGGAGCAGCGGGTTCCCCACCGACGGCCGCCCGACGAGCGCCAGCATTAAGTTAACAGGCATCAGCTATCACGCTAGAAAGACTACGGGGGGGGGACCCTTTATCAGCCCCCCATCCCCCTGCTGTGTGCAAGATGACCTATCCAGGTTTTTCTCAAACTCAGAATGAGAATGGGATCGGTGTTCCTATATTCCGGAGCTAAATCCCAAACCTCTTTCCTGGTGAGTGGCAGCGGCTGAAGAGTGCTGCACGTGGGCGGGGGGGGGGGCAGCGAAGGCACGCGCTGAGACGAAGGCCAACGGGTGAGGGGGGCCCTGCCCTGCCGCGGGGCCCTCAGGCGGCACAGCCGGTGCCGGCCGAGGCCAGTGCCTGCGCCGGCCAGAGAGCAAGGCCGTGTGGGGATGACTCCGGCGCATGAGGCCCCACGCGGGGCAGGGGGAAAGTCGGGGCCCCGGCGGGACCCTCGCCCGTCCTCTGGAGCAGAGGGCCGTGCTCCGGCAGCCAGCCGCCTGTGGCCCAGGTGGGGAGCAGCCCCCCAGTCTCAAGGCAGCCGCTACTGAGGGTGCTGTTAGACAGGAATGGACCCGGGACACGCCTGTGGGGGGGGGGTCGCAGGAGGGGGTGGCCAGAGGCAGCACGAGGACTGTTCCCTGCTGAGGCTGGGGCAGAGGCTCCCTCTGGCCTCCAACTCCACAAAACCCACGGCAGGGCAAGGGGCTGCAGGCCTGAGCCCCCGAGGGCTGGATAAATGCGGGGGCTCACTCAACCCCGCCCCCCCCCCGAGAGCCCCCTGGGAACATCCCCGCAGAGACCAGGAGCCAGGGTGGGTGACGGGCGGCCAGATGGTGCCCAGTGCTGGAAAGGCAGCAGCTGCCTGCAGGAGGGACCCCCCCGCACCCGTGGTCAGGGCCCTCCCTGCCCCTGCACCCCGCGCACTGCCTCCCACCCAAAGCAGGCGGCAGCACCCGCCTCCTGGCACCCAGGCCGGCTCCGGCTGCCTCCTCACGGGCCCAGGCCAGGCCCACAGGGGCATGATGCGCTCTGCTGCACCGGGCGCTGCTTACGGCAGCGGGCTCTCCGGAAGGGCCGTCATGGCCGCAGCGAGGCTGCAGGGGGCTCACGGACCCGAGCGAGCGAGGGGCTGAGCCACAGGGCTTCCCTGCACGCAGCGGCCTCAGTAGACACGAGGAACCGGAGGCGGTGTATTCCGGCCCCTCCTGCCAGCCCTGCCTGCCTCCCGTGGCCAAGCCACGCCTCAGGAAGATGGCCGGGCCTGCTGTACAGGCTCCCCCCGCCCCCCGAGAACAGCCGACACAAGGCTGCACTCCCGCAGCGACACCAGCAAAGCCCCCAGAAACACGGCAGCGGGGGCAGGCCGGCACACACAGGGAGCAGCTCCTGCATGCGTGCCCAGCATGGCAAAAGGGGGGAATCAGGGCGGCCATGGCAGTCGCAGCGAGGGCGGGGGGGGTGGGAGCAGCAGCTCCCTCGGACCAGCAGGGCCCGGCCAGTGGCGGTCCTGCGCGCTCGCGGGCGGCTTTGGAAACGTTGCTCCGTATGTTGCCAGCAGCAGCACTGCCTGGCTCCCCCGTTAACTGTCTGGTTTGGGAGTTCCAGGACCACAAGCCAGCGCAGCCGTGCTCGATCCCAGCTAGGCAAAGGGGGGCCTTCGAAGGGGGGCAGGCACTCCGGCAGCCGGGAAAGGGCCGGCCTGTTTGCAGAGAGCCCTTACGAGTGGAGCAGCCCGGGAAACGTGGCGGAAGCAGGAGGAGCCGAGCCCCGCAGAGCCCAGTCCGAGCGGAGAGGCTGTGCCGGGGCAGGGGGCGCTCTGGGGGCGTGCCGGCCAGCATCTGGGTGCCCGACAGCCCCGAGGAAGAACACGCAGGGCTCCGCCTGCGAGTGGGGCACAGCCCCGCTGGGAGACCAGCACCCACCCGGCTCTGTCCCTCCTCCCTGCGAGGACGTCAGGCAGGCCCTTTGCTGGCCACCCAAAGACAGCAGTGTCAGCGCCAGCTTGTAAGGCAGAGGGCGCTGCCCCAGGAGACCGAGCCGGGCTGCCCATGGCTACAGGGCACAGGGGCACCGAAACGGCCACTGATTCTGATGTGCAAAGCCGGGTCCGTGCTTCAGGCCTCCAGCCCGGCACCCGGAGCACCCTCCCGCCCTGGCAGCAGCGTGGTGCTGCTCACATCGGCCGAGCCAGGGCCGAGCGGCAGGGCTGGCAGAGGAGGGGAAGGGTGGAGGCGGCAAGCAGGTGGCCCCCGGGTTTTGCCAGGGGCCCAGGCCTGTCGGCTCCGTGGCTGAGACGGGGATGCTGGTGGAACTGGGGCCCCGGAGGGGCAGGGCACGGAGGTGCCGAGCCCCGGGGGAAGGCAAGTCAGGAGGAACCCCTCCGTGCCCGATGGCCACACAAGCAGCACCGGACATGGCCCCGAGCAGCGGCCCCCACGGAGGGCACCCAGGAGTCCCGAGGGCCCGCGAGGAAGAAGGGGGGGGCAGGAAGAGCCCCCTTGGCGAGCTGCTCCCTTGCGGATGGGATGGGCCACCCGGCCCCGCGCCACCCGCCTGCTCTTGCCGGGCTCGCCCGCTGCCCGGCCACGTTCATTCTCCCCGCGGGCGGCTCCTGGCGAAGGGCAGGCGGCTCCTTGTGCCGAGGGACGCCGCAAGCAAGCGGCCGGTGGGCACCCGCCCGTTCCGAGCTCTTCGGCCTCGGCCACGGCCGGCCGCGCTTGGAAGCTCCGTGCCGTGGAGGCTGCCGGAGGACGAGCAGCAGTTCCACCAGTCGAGGCGGCTTCTGGATGGAGGGCAGGGCAGGACCAGCCCCTCTGCCCCGCGGGCAGGGGCACTCGCTTGGGCTCCGCGGGTCCTGGGCCCGGAAGGACCGGCCACACGGGCCACGCCAGGCAGACCCTCCGGCTGTCCGGCAGCTCCACTGTCCCTTCTCCTGCAGGGGCACCGGCCAACGGCTGCCGCCTACTCCCGGATGCTGGCCGAGTAGGAGAACTGGGGGAAGTGCGTCCTCTGGTCAGCACTGAGCGAGTCCAGGCTGGCGTCTGCGGGCAGAGAGAGCAGAGCCCGCTCACCCTCCGCGGCGTGAGCGGCGCCCGTCCCCTCACAGCCGGGGCGTGTTGCCCCCCGCAGCGTGCCGGGGCGGCTGGCCGGCACATTCCAGGGGGCCGAGGAGAGCAACGGCGCGCTGCGGGCTACTCACAGCGGTCAGGCGGGGTGATGGTGATGGACTGTGCCGTGAACTCGTCATCGAAGTACCGAGTGTCAATCTCGGATGTCACTTGCGGCTTGAAGGGTGGGATGAGCTGAGGAGGAAGAGCTGCGGCTCTCACCGAGGCGGCATGTGCCCCCCGCTGTCACCCGCCCTCCAGCTGCTGGCCCAGCGAGAGAGCAGCGCTGGGGCAGAGCTAACGGCCCCCGGGGCCCTGCATGGGGCCCAGCAGGTCTGCCCAGTACCTTTTTCTGAACCACGTCCTGCCAGTTGATGGCGGAGAAGAAGCGGTGCTCCATCACCTCCTTAGCATCCTCAGGGCCGCCCCCCAGCCTGCGGGCACAAAGGGACCTGTTAGCACTCCTCCCAAGTTGGGGGGGGGGGTGGCTGAAGGCGGCAGACAGGCAGAAGCGCCAGGGCAGGGCTTCCTGAAGTCCAGCGGCCCCCTGCGGTTACGGGACAGCCAGCTGCTGACACGGGAGAGAGGCAGCAGGAACCCAGGCAGCAGACTGGGAACGCC